AGTCACATTAAGCATGTCAACGTGCAATTAACTTTAGTCCTGTTTGGATTGGAGGTTCCCACACAGTAACTACGAGCAGTATTGTCTTCTGGAACGTAATGTAGAGGTGAATTTCTACCAGTCTACACAGCGTTACAGCCAAAATGTAGCACACATCTAACTTTAAGCCTCTTCACGTCTCTCGTAGCTTAATGGCCTAAACACATTTCAACACACCAAATGAAAACAGAATAACATAAATAAAAGCCATATATATCTATAAAACCAATGTGAAATGTCTTATACATTATTTGCACAAATACTCATTGCGTAAGAATCGTCGAAACCAATATATTTCAATCACTATCCTCACCAGTCAATGAAGACTCAGAAATGACCCAATGTACCGTTTGTAGCCCATCAGATAAATTACTTGTCTTTGGTCCACAGTCATAAATAAAGAAAAACAACCATTTCGCTGGAAATAACGTACTTCTGCTTTTCGCACGATCCTTGATGGCCTCTTGCTTCTTTCACTATTCGACCCTGAATATGGAGTTGATATTTTCCTCCAAAAGTTTGGGCTTTCTACGAATTACACTACGTTACAACTCGTAATATCGTGAACTTCACAGATGTCACAGTGAGAACCTAAAATCTAATATTTATCTCCTAGAAATTATCCTGATGCACTCTGAGAAGATCAGTGTTTATTCTATGGACTTCAGCCGTCTCACTAACCACTAACACTAACACTCCACTTTCCTCAATTCAACCAGTCGCATTGCAAACCAACAGTTCATTTCTAGCCGTCCTTTCATGTTAAACAGAAATTTTCTCCACGTAATGAGAAAACAGAAGGCTAGTTGGATTGGTCATATCTTACGCAGTAATTGCCTTCTAAAAGAAGTTATTGAAGGAAAGATAGAGGGGCGGATAGAAGTGACCAGAAGACGAGGAAGAAGACGTAAGAAGATGCTGGATGACCTTGGGGACAGAAGAGGATATTTTCATTTGAAGGAGAAAGCTCTAGATCGCATCAAGTGGAGGAACTGTTTTGGAAGAGACTGTGGACCTGTCGCCTGACAGATTACAGATGAATGAATGAATGAGATATGAAAGTCGTTGTTGTTAAGCGCCCTGTTGCTTACTGAATTGTCATTTTTTTTTTTTTGCAGAAAATAATAATCGTTGAAGAAATGAAATCGGCTGTGTAGTAATAAATTCCATTTTCTAGTTTGTAGTAGTCATTTAGGAAGTGTTAATGATTTCTCTGAAAGACAAGGATTGAAAAGTTAGTACTAAGATTTAGTTCGATATTCAAATCTTTGCGAGCACTTTAGAAGTAAAGAAGTTAAAATAATACAATGCTTGTTCCGTGTCTGAGCTAGTAGATTGCGCTTTTGCGGAGAAGTATAAAGTTTGTTCCAGGAACGTCACTATTGATAATGTAATCCTCTTAACTTGAAGGAAGCAAATATTAAAGAGACTCTAAGAAGCAGATGAAAAAGGTTACATTTTCAAACAATTAGAAGAATAGACGGGCCGTGCCTAAAGGATGCTCCTCATACACAACAACTGTCTTTTTATTGCTAATGGGGTGGGACTAAATCCCTTGTACTGCGGCCACTTCTGACCTATTGTACCAGCCCCAGATGATAGGTGATTGTGATTGTGGAGCAATTGGTGGAATGAAGATTGGCAGGGGAAACCGAAGTACTCGGAGAAAACGTGCCCCACCACCACTTTGTCCACCACAAATCCCACTTGACCAGACCAGGGATCGAACCCGGACCGCAGCGATGAGAAGCTAGCGATTAACCGCTTGAGCTATGGCGCGGTCTTACACAAGAGTTAACTCTACTACTTGTTTTCAATTTAATCCAGACTTATAATATTTATATAAAGAAAATATTAAAAGTCATGAAATAGATCTTCAAATAACTAACGTCGTGGCAGACATGGACTTTGAGAATCTCACCTGGTCAGGCGAGGACATGCAGTAGCGTAATTGGTTGAGGCACTATGCTACAAGTCGGAAGGTCGCGGGTTCGAGTCCCGATGAGGTGGATTTTTTTTTGCAGTTCACCTAATCGTTCGAGCCGCACTGTGGCCCTGGGGTCGACTCAGCCTCTAACAGAAATGAGTACCAGAAATCTTCCTGGGGTAACGGGCAGCCGGAGCGTAAGGCTGACAACCCAACCGCCATCTGTGAGCTGATTGTCTAGAAAATGTGGGAACCTCGACGTCTCACAACCCTATAGGCCTTCACGGCCTGTTACATGGATAACGTTTCCTTTTTTTAACTTTCACCTTGTCAAGTCCCTCCTTTTAGAACCTACGCGTTCATGGTAGTGTTCATACGGACCGGCTGTGCGGCCTCATTCCTAACCTGGTTCAGTCTGTGCAGGATCTGAGGTTATCACAGCGGTGGTTGTGAAGAGTTCTGTCTTCTGGGTGAATCTAGTCTAATCATTTGTCTGAGAATAATTGATTATAATTATAATTATAATAATTATAATTGTAGCGTGTACCATGATTGGGCTACCATTCAGTCCAGAACCTTTTGTCTTCTCATCTGTTGTCCAAAAACATAAAAATTAGAACATACAAAATATAATTTTGCCCGTGGCTCTGTATTAGTGTGAAACTTGGTCTTTGACATTAAGGTAGGAACATAGACTGAGGGTGTTTAAGAACAGGGCATTGAGGAGAATATTTGGGCCGAAGAGAGATGAAGTGACAGAAGGTTGCACAAAACTACATAATGAGGAGCTTCATAACTTGTACGCTTCTCCAAGTATAATTAGAATGATCAAGTCAAGGAGGACGATATAGGCAGCGTATGTAGCACGAATGGGGGGAGAGAAATGCATATAGGATATTGGTGGGATAAGCAGAAGGAAAGAGACCACTGGGTAGACTAAGGCGTAGGTGGGTGGACAATATTAAAATGGATCTTATAGAGATAGGATGGGATGGTATGGATTGGATTGATGTAGCTGAGGATAGGGACCTGTGGAGGGCTCTTGTGAACACTGTAACGAACCTTCGGGTTCCATAAAATACTGGGAAGCACTTGAGTAGCTGCAGATTTGATGTCTTCTCAAGAAAGGCTCACCTACATGAGTGTGAGTAACACACAGACACGTTGCTAAGCTATGACCATGTGAACAACGCCCGCTTCTAGGCAGCAGATTCCTAACAAGTACCAATTTAATATCAACAGAGAAACGGTGTTTTTGTGAGTGGTCCGCTAAGCAGTAGCTGAACAACAACAGTGGAATGGTGTTTTCTGTACGGTCCGTGCAGATATGTTATAACCAGGACAATTAGTGATAGTGAGTGAGTGCCGCAGTACAGGGAAGGGAAGAGATGGTTGTGAGTTAGTGTGAGTGAGTCAGAGAAATACAAGTCATTCGTTGTGAGTGTTTGCTGTTAGAAGCTTGTAGCTATGACACGAGGATAGTTCGGTAGCAAAGAGGAAGGGAAACAAGCGACCTCCGTAGTCTAGAGGTAACATTCCCACCTCATGACTCGTGGTACGCGGGTTCAAAAACCCGGCGGAGGTCGTGGAATTTTTAAAGGGGGAAAAATTCAGGGAACAAGTGCTCCGGGAGGGACTTTAAGCCGTGGGTCCCGTGTTGTAGATTTACGGCACGTAAAAGAACCTCATATCTCTAGGAGACTTCTGAGCAAAATTAGGCCAAGTTTCCCGCCCAAGTAGTTTCCAATTCCTCCGGTAGATGGGGGAAGTATCAGGTACCACTGCCAGAGGAGGGGGGACCTCTCTGACAGAAAGGGACTAAAAGTATTAGATACCACTGCCATGTAGAGGGTGGAAACCTTGCTGGCAGAAAGGGACTAGGAACCCCTGCCAGAGGAGGGACGACCATGCTGACAGAAAGGGACTAACTATTAGATACCACTGCCAGTAAGAGGTTGGAACCTCGCTGGCAGAAAGGGGCTGATAGTAAGCACCAGTACCAGTAGGGTATGGAGACAGTAGAAATTAAAGGGGGACGCACAGTGGACCAGTAACCGGTCTAAGTGCATGGGGAAACCCACCCCCTCAATACAGAATACAGAAGGGAAACATCTGTCGTTGAAGCGTAGGCCTACATAATGGTATTAAATAAAATAAGTTTTCTGGAAGAAAGGTATGAACTTGTGAACTGATTCATTTAGCTCAGAATATGTATGGTTCAGTGATTCACTCTCTTGAAGTATCAACAAACAAAAAAAAACTCCTAGTTTTAGTCCGCAAGCGAAATATACCGACCGAGCGACAGCCGCTTGCCGGCGAGGTTAGTGCCCACTTTAGCGGATAGATGGTGTCGCGTGGTCAGCGTAATGACTCCACACGGCCGTTAATTCCAGTTTTCTAGACCGGAGCCGCTACTTTTCCATTCAAGTAGCTCCTCAGTTATCCTCACGAGGCTGAGTGGACACCGTTCCAGACCCACTACTTCTCAGAAAATCTGGTAGCGCCGGGAATCGAACCCAGGCCTCTGGATCTGTATCCAGGAACTCTGACTACTGACCACAGAGGCGGACGTTGTGGAATATCAGGATCCCTAAATTTGGGTACTGTTTGAGAGCTGAGAAACTGCATTTTTTTCCTTTGAATTCCGTGGCCAAAATGTTTCGTGCTAGTAGCAACAGCTTGTAGTTCGTGTTGACCTGTGAAGTCGGATATCCAGTGAACCCGAATCAATATAAGTAACTTTATTTATTTAGGTTGTGTTGGAAGCCACGTAGGGCGGAAGTGCAGCTCGTTGGCCATCCCTAGTCAATGGGTTGGATCTGAGATAAAGGTACTATGTTAGAAAACTAAGTGGTTGGAAGTGAAACGGAAAATTATGTGAGTGGAGGGGTGTCCAGACTGGCAGAAAGAGAGACGAGATTAACCCGAAAATTGAACGAGAATTTTGTTAGTTGAGAAAAGTTAAAGCAGGCGTCGATAAGAAGAAAGCGTGAGATAAGAACTCGTTTCAAAATTTTTTGTTTCTTTCCTACAGGACAGAAAAGGACGAAAAGGAGGGAGATGCTTTGGAGACGAGATTCCATCGACTGGAGATATGCAGAAGTTATGTAAGTCAAGTTGAAGTTTCCATTAATAAAGCAATTATGTTTCAAATTATTGAAATTGGAACACGAATGTTATTAAAGCGAGTTTAGCAAAACGGAGAGTAATTTTCAACTTATTAAACTACAGAAGAGATACTAACTCTTGCAGGATAATGGAAAACTGCTTTGTGACATTGCTGTCTTGAGTTTGCCTCTTACAGGAATATGTTCTTTGTGCCAGTACAGCAACAGTAGAGGTGTGCCAGCTTGTGAGTCAATACCTTCAGCTATGGTTATTCTTATATCTGATATCTATTCACATGATGTGTAATCTTGGTACCCGTAGGTTACTTAAGCACAGGGTGTCTGAAAATTCGAGATTCGGTGGTATATTTTAATTATCTTGGTATCCGTAGGTTACTTAATTACAGGTTGTCTAAAAATTCGTGAATCAGTAGTATATTTTAATTATCTTAGTATCCGTAGATTACGTAGTTACAGGATGTCTAAAAATGTTGGAATCAGTGATATATTTTAATTATCTCCGCTCATATTTTCCATGAAATTCTAAGCACATTCAAAAACCTAAGGTCATTTAGTGTTTCATATTCATTAGCACTGCTTGGCTCATAGAGAGGGTTTCTACATGAATTCGCTGGTTTAAGTACTCCACATTATGTCGTTGATTTCCAAACATTCGTTCATGCGTATATCTAATCATGTGGCCCGCAACCCACTTATGAACATAATGTACATAATTTTGAGTACGACAGGGACATGGCAGAAGTAATAACATATGGTTTTATGCATTTTATGACTAGGCCTTAAGGGTCGTCCATACAGACCGCTACGCTATGTTCGCTACGTACGCTACGTACACTGTGTACACTCTGCGACGCAGCACGGAAGTCTGTGTGGCCAGTCACATTGACAATAAAGGGAGATATTTTTCTGTTCGTATAGCGAACATAGCGTACGTAGCGTGCATCGCGCACGTAGAGCTTTGTGTGGCCGAACCTTTAGGGGTTATGTTTTATCTGTAACTCACATAATAGGATCCTTATTATGGTAAAATGAACTTAAGACACTTCTACCGTAAAACCAATTCGAGATTACTGAAAATAGTATTATCTTTTGTATTAACTTCCGATCCTGATTACAGAATTTGTATTATTTCAGACTCTAGACCGTCATTCCATCACACCTCATTATACCAGGACTTTGAAATACCGCTGCTATAACCATGAACTCCATTACGATTACGTATTTTCACGCTGTGTGTGTGACTGTAGACTGGATTTAATAAGGCGAATAGATTTATTTACCACTTAACAAGTTGTATCTATAAATAACTATAATACTATCACTATTTCCACATTTTACATTTCGCTGAAGCATACAGTCTAGCGTTATCAATCTTTTGCTGGATGTTTCCTGGTAACGGCTACAACAATGGCTATTCCTCTGCTCAGACTCAAGCGCACTCTTCACAGACTTCCGTACAGAATTATCAACTGACCGTATACCTTGCTTGCAGCTCTTCTACTGTAGTCAGCTGTTGCATTATTAAGGATTTGCTGCCTAGCAACGGGAACGTGTTTACCGAGCCGTTGCCATGAAACCGCCCTAGTATATCCACCCATGTAGCCTTCGTTCCATAGCAACGGCTCTGCGTGTTACAGTATGTTCTATATAGTACAAATTTCTATAAGTTGCAGTAAAAGATTGCATCACAATGTTAATTGAAGCAGTGTTCAGGTAAAGAGAGTGAAGTACATAGTCAGTCATAGTAGGCTCTGTTTCATGTTTTTCTAAACTTAAGACAATTTTTTTTTCCAAAAAGTAAGTTTAATGAACACCATTTGTTCCTACTTGACCACAGTCTAAAATGTAATTTATGTGCCATGTATGTGTTTTATTCACTGCACATGTAACAGCATGGTTTCCAAATTTAGATAAATATCAGTTTCACGTGTAACTCCGGTGTATTATAACGCGGATACTGAATCTATAAACCAACACCATTTTATAGCGAGGGTGAAATATAAATAAAAGTTAAAACTGTTACTGTAACAGACCGTCGAGACCCATAGGTTTGTGATACGTCGAAGCCCCCACATTTTCTAGACAATCGGCTCACAGATGGCAGTGAAGTTGTCAGCCTTATGTGCCGGCAGCGCTTTACCCCCAGGAATCTTCCTGGTAATCATTTCTGTTAGAGACTGAGTCGATCTAGGGGCCATAGTGCAGCTGGAAGGGATAGGTAAATTGAAAATTTGAATTTTGAATTTGAAAATTGAAATTGAAATTACCTCATCGGAAATCAATCCCACGATCTTCCTGCTTGGAGCATAGTTCCTTTACTAAAGTAATGTGTAAGGCCGCACCATGGCTTAAGCGGTTAGTCGCTGGCTTTCCACTGCGGTGGCCCGGGTTCGATCCTAGATGTGGTCAAGTGGGATTTGTGGTGAACAAAGTGGCGCTGGGTCAGGTTTTCTCCGAGTACTTCGGTTTCCCCTGCCAATCTTCATTCCACCAGTTGCCCCACAATCACCGTCATCTGGGGCTGGTACAATAGGCCAGAAGTGGCCGCAGTACAAGGGACTTAGTCCCACTCCACTAGAAATTAAAAAAAATAATAAAAACAAAGTAATGTGTAAATACGTACTTATTGACTACTGTCACGCTTATATCTGAAGTTCCGTGATGAACTTTGACTCCTATAATTACCTGATTGCATGCTAGACTGACTTGCATACTCTGCAGACCCGTGGTACACGCTGTTATCTGAGAGTCGACGCCAGGTCTGCAGTTATGTAGCCATTGCCATCTGCCGTTGAGTGCTAAACTTAAGTAAGAGAAACGAAGAAACATTCCAAACTGAATAGTCACTTTCGGAATTCGAATCCAGAACTCTTCTCCGAGAGTCCTTGGCAGTAGAATAACGCGTTATGTTGTGGGGTTTTCTCCAATCAAGACTAACTCTGACATATGCAAAAAATCTTATTTTTCCAGTCCAGCTTTATCTTGCGCGTTTTCGTCTGAAAATGTTCTCCATCTCTACTTTGTACCTCATAGTCACATTCTTCCTAATCCCTGAAGCTAATTCTCCCCTCTTGTCTCTCACGTCTGCAGTCACGACTCTGCACCCACGGATCCCTGGAACATGGTGTGCCAATTTTCCTCCATTGCGACAAGCCAGATGCTTACTTGGGGAGCGTTCATTAGGTTGTCCTATAAAGTTCAGTCTTCCAGTCTTCCTGCCTGTTCCTCTTTAATTTTCCTTCTTCTGTTCATTCTTCCCTTTCTTTTTCCAGTTCTTGAGCTTCTGTTACATCATTTCGAAGATGAGATGCCTGTAGCCTGCGCGCAGGCGCCGAATCCCAAGCTTGGCCATCAGAAGAAAACCAGTTCATTTACCGTGAAACACAAGTAGACGTACATTGACGTAGTATTCTCGGGCTATCAGCCGTGTCAGTTGTTCGAAAATTCGGAGAAAATTTCTGATCCATTATTTGGGTATGATGTGACATAAGTCGAAGTCAGCGTTACGTTACGACCACCGGCCAGCCAGTCAACTTGTCCTAGTGTCTAGCTTCATTCTGTAGCCCATGACGAAATTTTATTCCTTTTGAGGACATTTGCAATTTTATCGTTGTTTGGCGTCGTCTTTGACAAGCGGACGGGTCTGTCATTCGTCGAATTCATGGACAGAGATAAAAGTTAACTGCATTTACAATTACATGTATACAAATTCAGCCACTTGCTCACGCTGGTTCCTGAATATTGAGGCGATATGTTCAGCCGAAACCTCGGCTTACACAATATGGACACTGCGCCACATCCGTCCACGCTTAATGCAGCATCGTATTTCACTGTCCTGTTGTACTACTTGATTTATTTTGCAGGGACGGTCTTCAAAGTGGAACCTCTTGTGTTCGTAGACTTTTGTTATGTTACGTTGTCAAGTTTTATGTATGCTTTGAATCTCTAGGGATGTCATCAGATAGTTAATTTTATGTAATCGCTGCAGTGTATTCATTTTTATAGGTCATTGTATTAAACTCAGTTACAACTAGTTCCAAATTAGAAATTAGCAAAGGGAAGGAAAAATTAAAGGAATATATTCCAGCTTAAGACGTAGGCCCCTAGGATATGTAGCTTTCAAGAGAGAAGATAAACATATTCATAATTTTAATTTAGAACGATCTTTAATATGGTGCATGCGGTAACATAGTTGGTTGAGGCATTATGCCTCAAGCCGGAAAGTCGCGGGATCGAATTCCGATGAAGTGATTAATTTTAATTTACCTAATTCTTCAAACCGCACTATGGCTCTGGGGTCGACTCAGCCCCTAATAGAAATGAGTACCAGGAATCTTCCTGTTGGATAAAGGACGGTCAGCACGTAAGGCTGACAACCCTACCGCCATCTGTGAGCCGATTGTCTAGATAATGTGGGAACCTCGACCTCTTAGAACCCTATGGGCCTCTACAGCCTGTTACAGGGATAGCTTTACCTTTTCTCTAAGATGTCAATTTAAAGAACAAGTAAGAGATTGGAGGTTAATATTAGGATGAATGGACGGAGTGGGTGGGAGAAGAATGGTTCAGTGGCGGATATTGATCTTCCAGTTTCTTTTAAACTAAGGCAGTATTAGGAAGTTAGTAAATCGGTTAATCTGTGAATTAGCCTTGCTTTTGGATTGGTTCACTATGCCAATCCGTGATTACTTTCTGAACTACAGAAGAAAGCTCATAGAAATTTGAGGTGTCCGATTGGTAGAGGAACTAATTGCTTTATCAATCCAAGATGATCGCTTCCTCTCCAGGCACTTCTTTTTCTGTCCTTTCTTTTCAGGAAATCTCATTCAACTCGCTCTTATTTTTCCCCATACCACATTTCAACTCCATCTTATAAGGTTTCGTGAGAGTGCGAAAATTAATGTTATGTAAGACAGAAAAATTGCTTCGTGATTTGTGTGTATCAAAAACGCGTCATCTGAGAAACGTTCTGGGGTGAT